CAAAAACCCTAGATGTCATCAATGGTGGTTTCGGTTCCAGGGCGCCATAATCAAATTAAATCATACCAATAGCTTCAGAATGGTCCTATCAACACAAATGATTCTGATAGCTTCAAGGCTCGTTTTTGATTGCAAATTGCTTCTGAATGTCCCAGCAATGTATTGGAATCATTCTAAGGCTTTGAATTGTGCTGGAAGCTTGAGTTCAGTTTTCAAATTTCCTCCTATTTTTGAATTTTGTTTGTGGCTTTGTAGCAGCTTTTGCACGTGCCCCCAATTAGGTTTAGACTGTGTGTATATATGAGAAAGGGATTAGGTCATTAGCTGGGCCTTGATCCATGCACATGAGAGAATTAGTCTTAGGTTTTTTTATCATTAACAAACTTTCCCTTTTTTAAGCAAAACCAAGACTTGGTGTACAACATAACCCTAGCATGAGTTTGTGAGCTGGCACATGATGTATGGAAGCTATTCAAATCCAAATGACACTATTCCATTGATTTTTAGATTTTATTTGAATTATTATGGATTTAAAATGAATTAAATCAATAAAAATTAAATAAAATAGTAAAATAAATGTTTGATCTTGAAATTAATCATGGGACACGTGTGTGGCATGACAAGGCTGAATCAAGTGGAAGAAAGTGGGCCCTTTTGTCAAAAATTGAAGTTTCAAGGATAGTTGACTTTTGCCATTTCACAAAAATTTCCCAACTTCTCCAATGCATATCTTGCTCAATTTTGATCATATGAACATGTTCTTGGACATTTTGGAAAGGTCTTGAAGTCCTATAACCAATGCCTTTGGTCCCATGTCATTTTGATTTACCAATCTCAAGTTATGGTCTTTGACTTAAAATGCCTTTTTGTTGACTTTTGAAAATGACCTATAATGTTGAAATTGATAACTTTTTGTGAGAGCATTTCTTGGACTTTTAATGTGAAGATGAGTTGTAGGAAATGTCATCCCCTTCAAAATGAGCATTGGATGGGATTTTTATGATGAACCATGAGAAAGTTATGCCTTGGTCAAGTTACAGTTGACTTTTCAACTGTCCAAAAATGGAAACTTTTGCATCTTAATGATTTTTGAGCCATTCTTGTGGAATCATGATCAAGACTTGATCAAATGATGATTGTGGCTTCAAAATAAGATGTTGACCAAAAATTTTGACTTTTGACTGCCAAATGACCATTTTACCCCTATAGTTGATTGTGAAGCAATTAGGGCTTTTGACTGTGCAACTTGATGCTGTGAGCCTTGAGACTTGACATGTAGATGCTTGGCAATGTGTATAGGCATATGAGGCTTGATTGAGCCATTGAAACTCCAAATTCCTTGAAGGAACCAAAACCCTAATTTTGACTGACTTAGGAGGATGTTTGACTGTGCAACCCCTTGAGAAGTTTTGAACCATTTGATGATGATTCTTGACAAACCTTGAAGAATATGGGAGGGAAAATTTTGGGGTACAACAGTAGGCATGCGATTAAAATCATGGCGAGTTCCCCTAAATAAAATTAAAACTCTATTTCCCAAAAATTGCGCTTCTAACCCTAGTATTCTTGTGAACAAGGTATATGAGGGGTGCCTAACACCTCCCCTACATCTAGAACCGAGTCCAAAAACCTAGAATCTCTAATTTTTTAGGGTTATCCTTTATATTCCCTTCTTTAGGATAAAAATTAAGGGTGACAACTCTTATTTTAAAACCAGTTACAACAGTAGGAAGGACCACGACTCGATCCTCGCAATTGCGATCAGGAGAGAGGCTAAAAGCACTTGATACCAGACTTAACCTTTAAACCAGATTAAACTAATGGTGAAAACAAAAACAAAATATCATTATTACTTAAGGGATGTAATGTAAATTGTTTTGAGTATTTTATATGTTTTAGGCCTATTAAGTATTATTGTGAAGGATCACTCTTTTCATCCTTAAGGATGCTCCCCGCCACGATAAAAAGTAAAAAAATCCTATAGAATCTGGAGCAGACGCACCTTTTTATAAACATATTTTATCACTTCATAAATATGTATGGTAATGTGGCAGAGCTGAGAATTCGGGCACCATTGTTGTTACACCATCATTATCGAAGAACAACTATGAATCTTGGAATTGATCCATGAAACATGCACTTTTAGCAAGAACAAGATTAAATTCATCAATGGAAAAATCACAACTCTATCAGAAAATGAAACGCTCTTTGACACTTGGGAATGATGCAATAATGTCATTCTTCTATGGATCTGAACATCTCTTTCTTCGGATATCACTCAAAGCACCATTTACATGGACAATGCTGCTCAACTTTGGACCAAATCTCCATAGTTGCTTCTCCAAAACCAATCATTTATGGTTATCTGGTCTTCTTCAACAAATTGACTCCATGTGCCAAGGTGAGAAATCGATGAAGAGATATTTCAATGAGTTAAAGACTCTTTGGGAGGATACACTACAACAAAACGCGCATTCAACAACGTCCAAGTCACCATGGTTCTTCCAAACACCGTGGTGACATCTCTAAATTAAGGCGCTAACATATATATATATTTTTTAAATAAAAATTGTTAAGATATGATAATGGTTGGTGTACTCACCGTGGTGATACAATCAAGCTTTTATGGGTTAGAACCTGAGTGCTCTCAAATATTTTATTCTTTTAACATTAAGGCTCACCTTTTGTTTTTTATTTATTTTTAAATAAAAAATAAAAGGGATATCACTATGGTTGTTTTGTTCAACCGTTGTGATATATTTTGTTTTTAATTTAAAATAATATATCATCATAGTTCGCCTTGTCAACTATCATGAAAAGTGCTACTTTTTTATATGTAAACGAAAGTATTTGTCGCCCAGTTCATAACAACTGTTTCTCTCTAAAGAAAACCCTAACATATCATCAACTTATACGCATCGGTTTTCTCTGATGACCACTACCCCTAAATAAAAAACTCTTAAAGGAAGCTTAAAGGATACCTGATCGGAGCAGCATCCGGCGTAAACTCTAATGGTGGCGAAGATGGTATATTTTCTTGCTCTCTCTTTCAATATCTCTTTACTCTTCACCTACCCTCTTCTTTCTACTATTCTTCTGAATGTTGTTGATGCTTAGAAGTTAGGATTATGGTTTTAGAGTTTGGTTTCAACTTCAGTAGCATAACAGTAGGAAAATGGTAGATCCATTGCAATGAGTCAGTAGGTTGCTTTATAGAGTTTGTTTGCACGTGTGGAAAGTTGAAGCATGTGAGAATCTATCTTTATTGAATTTATTTTTGTGTTTGTTTTGCAAATTGAATTTGTTTTGAAATCTGTTTGGCCATGTATGTATGTGGTTGTGTAACAATGTGATGTTATGGATATTGGTTGTATTGTGATGATGCTCATGGTTGAAATTTGTTGTGTTTCCTTGCAAATTATAATGTTGGATGGTTAAGGGCATGATACATGCTGATAATGGTGGTAGCAAACGTATAATATGAGTTGATATGGTACATATGGTTTGTGTTGCTATAGAAAAAAATATAAGAAGTATGAAATTATTGTGAAAACTTCATCCACCTTGTATTTCTTCTTCATAGCATCACAAACTATATGAACTTCATAATTTGTTACAGTTCCAAGATTATTTTCAATAAAAGGTGCATTCTTAAAACACTTTAATATATATTGTGATATTGTATGTTGTTAGTGTTTTGTTGCTAAAATGTATGTTTTATTTTGTTGCATGTATTTGTTGTGTTGTTGTTGTTGTTGACAAATATTCTCAAAACAAGAACAAAACATTGCTAAGTCACAAGAAAAATGCTTCTTGTGACTTAGCAATATTCTGTTCTTTAAATTCTTATACAGGTTGATAGTAGATGAAGTTTAGTTTATTATATGCTATGTAGATTGTTTGTTTCACTAACCTTTTAATGAAAATACATTCATTTAAATTGACATGGAAACTTATAATCTGGAAATTAATATGTATGTGAAAACCAACCTATATTAATCGATGTTTTTTGAATTGTATGCGTCTCATCGTTCACTTCATGCTCCTTAACATATGGAATATGGTTCAATGACCTGATTGCTTCATTACCTCAACATCTTCTATGTTAGTTTAATTTTAATAACATTAATTTATTGGCTAATTATATCCAATCATCATCACTTATCATCACGATTGTTATAATGACGATTGTTATGATGATAGATAAGTCATCACAACAATCACTATGATAAGCGACGATGATGAGGTAGAGTTAGCCAATAAATTGATGTTATTCAAATTAAACTAGAATCGAAGGAATCGATGCAATGAAAGAATCATACTATTGAACCATATTTTATTTGTTAAAGAGCAGGAGATGAATGACGAGAGACGTGCAATTTGGAAAACAATGGTCGACTTAAGTTGATTTTCAAAAATATTTTAATTTTCATATTATATATTTCTACATCAATTTTAATAGTTGTATTTCTTTAATAAGGTGTATGAAAATCCGATCCAACAATCAGATCAGGCATGTGATCCCTCCAGTTTCCGATTTGATAGGATGGTTCGATCTGACTTTTAAAACACTGATTACAACATATAGATATCTTGTTCTTGAAAGAATTCTTGAAGCTAGAAAAATGAATTTCAAAAATATATTTCTAGTTTTGAAAGATATTTTAAGAAATGCATATGGTAGACAATTTAAAGATTACTAGACTTGCCAATCTGTCTCGCCCTCAACCCCAGACCCAATGTAACAATTTATCCTTCGCCTCCACCTCAAACAAGGAACAGATTTTCCCGCTCACCAAACCTGGGTGAAGTATTGCTATAACCAACCCACATAAAATTGGGCTAACTTACGGGCTTTGTTGGCACGTGCGAGGGGTGTGCACGAAGCGGAGTTAAACCTTCTGGGTTTTAGGATTCAATTTCGGAAGAAAGATCGAAATAAATTCACAAGTCTGAACTACCAAATAGGGTTTCGTCTCAACCATCTTCATCGCAACGCAATGTCTTCTCCCGGCGAGTAAGCTTCTGAATCACGCTACCTTTTCTTTCTCACATTGTTTCCATTTTCGTTTTCTACATCATTTCTATGTAATTTTTTTGTTGTTCAATCATCACTCGTTTTTGTTAGGTACTATAAATCTCTTCCACCTATAAGCAAGGCTTATGTAACAGCTTGTTTCGTTGCTACCGCTGCTTTTCATCTTGGATTATATGATCCATTGCTCATTGCATTGTCATTCGATGAAGTGTTCTATCGTTTTCAGGTTAGAATTCCATAATATAAGATCATTCGTACGTCGTGTTTATGAAGCACTTACACCGGAAACATGACACTGATATCGGAAACATGATACTGACACTGATACCAGAAACATGATACGGACACTGATACCGGAAACATGACACTGACACTAATACCGGAAATATGACACTGACACTGATATGTCGACACAGTAATAATAAATTAAAATGATTAAATTGAATATAATTACAAGTGTCGTTGTCAGTTTCGGACAAATACACGTATTGTTTCTGAGGTGTCATGTCGGTGCTACAGAGTGTTAGTGAATGAGAAAGAGGAATGTACTATTGATATGTTTGCAAAATGCTGACTGTTGAATTCATTCTAAAGCTTTCCTTTTTTGTGCACACCTTTGATTGTGTTGAGAATTTTTATGTACAAACTGATTGAGGATAATTTTATGTATTCATTAGCGAAATTACATGAAACACTTTATGGTCTTACAAGCTTTTACCTCTGAATTGTTAATAACATAACTATTTCTGCCATCAAACACTACCCTGCTGCTGATAATCAGATTATTCTTTATTTTTAATCCATCAAGATAATCCTTGAATATCATTCTCTCATATTTTTAAAGTAACCGAGGAATGAGGATTAATTTGATTGATTATAATGGTTCAAGGACTACGTATTATATTTCTATAGTTCAGGGACTATATTTGAGAGATGGATATTTTAGGGACCAAATTGATGGTTTATTCTAGAAAGAGGTGAGGCACCGGGGATGCAGCCAGGTTTCTGTTATACTGAAATAGCAAAAACGTTGATCCTTCGGCAGAGCATAGGTTGTAGATATGGACAGAGAAAATGTATTAGTGTAAATTGTACTGGGGTTTATTTTGGTCAATAAGTAGTCTGCGGAAGTTTAACTCTCTGTTAACAACCTTGTGTGGTGATTTTAGTGTGTTTCATTTCCAGTCAAACTATTTAATACATTTGTAACATCATCACATCATCTGTAGGTTTGGAGGCTGTTCACAAACTTCTTTTTCCTCGGCCCATTCTCCATTAGTTTTGTTTTTCATCTTATAATGATGTAAGTTATTAAAAAATAAGGTGCAATTTTCACTTTTACTTAACTCGAACTGATTCCCATCCCATAATCAACAGACTAAGGTATGGTGTGCAACTTGAGAAGGGGGCATTTGACAGACGAACTGCTGATTTCTTGTGGATGATGATATTTGGAGCATTTGCACTATTGGTATCTAAGATCATCTATATATCTTTTCATCTAATGATTATTTATGTGATATTTTTTCCTTCAAAATGCTGGAAGTTTAATTTTGAAGTATCTATTTACACGACTCATGTTTATCACTCTGAGCAAGAAAAAGGCGACACTTTTTGTTAGATAAAAAAAGCAGAGGAAACACTATGCTTGATCTACTTTTATGTTTTTCTTTAACTGTCGTCATTATTTGGCCATCCTGCCTGTGGAAGATGCTCTATGTATGTTCAATATTAGGATAACAATAGATATATGTAGTGATATACTTATGCATGTGTTTTTTTTTTTTTTGATAAACAACTCATGCATAAGATAATAAACAGAGAGTACAAACATTGCCAGAGATAATGTGTTAGGGCATTTCCCAACCACATTCTAAAAAAACCACTAATAACAAAGCCAACTAAGATTTGGACATCATTAAATTTTGAGAACTTAGAAACTAGAATGGTATTACAAATTTGAATTCCTAATCCAAGCAGCCAGGTAGAAAACTTGCACAGGTAAAACATGAGTTTTGGAACTACAATCTTTAAATCTATCCAGTTACGGATCATATCTTTAGCTTTTGAACTAGCTTTTGATCGTACAATTCGATTATACTGGTTCTCCAAGTTGAAGAAACTCATCATTTGTGAAGGAGTCATTTGTTGAGAGGATAAGAGATTCTGCTCTGCAACAACCATTGATAGGTTCTCACTCACAATCACATGCACTACATCCAAGCATCTTTGTGGTATATCAAAAAACACCATAAATGCAACCTTACAACACCCTAAACACAAGAACAAAACACACCACTGGACCAAACAAAAAAACAAGATAATATTACTTAAAACAAAGCAAACACAAACCCAATAACTTAGATCTTCATCTTCTGGTGGTGGAGGCTCCGGTGGAGGACGTTTTCCATGCCCGATCCACTTTGGGTCGCTGGTTGGTGACGGTGGTGTTGGAGTTACGAGCACTTGGTGGTTGTTGTCGGAAGGTAGGGAAACAATGATGAAGGTTGGAGGTAGAAAAGAGGGGTAAGGTATGGATAAGAGTTTTCGGTGGGGGTGACAGATGGGGTTGGGGTGGGTTAGGTTCCGGTGGATGTGAAGTGATAGGACCATCTGAGGTGAGGGCTAGGCGAAGGTAGTGGTGGAGAAAGCGATTTTTGGGGAGGAATGAGGATGAGAGTAGATCTAGGGTTTTAGTGGGTGAAGAGGAGAAGACAAAATAGAACAAAAATTCACTACAAAGATGAAGAAAAATCACCTCAAAAAGGGAGAAGAACCACCACTAAGAAAGAGGAAAAAGCCCTAAACAAATTGGGGAAACGGGAACCCCCACAACCCCTCTGTTAGAGGTGGGAGGAAGAAGAGAGGTTTTAGAGAGAAGTTGGAACCCTTATGCATGTGGTTGATTTATGCAAAGTTAGGGGGGGAAATTTCACTGCGGGGGTTGATGGGTGATGATCCTAGTAAGGATAGTAAATAAAAAACTATGCATGATAGGGCTTTATTAAGAGAGCAATGGCTGATTCGTTGTCAGAAATGGCTGATGGTAAGTAAAAGATTATTAGCATTTAGGAATATGACATGATGTGATTGAGGATTTGTGAACTATGGGAGGGGGAGACTAAGGAAGATAAAAGCCGGTTAGGTGGTGTCAATGATGGCTTGAATCTTTCATATAGAACACCTTCACTGATTGAAAAAAGGCATTCAAGAAGTTCAGAAAAGTTAATTTATGAAACAAACTGTTACCATTCTTGGTTGATTTCTCATTTCTTCAGTCTCATTTTTTACTCAGGGCTCTAATATTTTTTTCTTTGCAATCTAGGTTTTGTGTGCAAACCCTTTTTTTTGGTCCCCGTTTTTGGCAGCATCCCTTGTTTTTATGCTCCTTTATGTATGGAGTAGAGAATTTCCAAGTGCCGTAGTCAGCTTTTATGGACTTGTTGAATTTAAGGTATGTTTTAATAGTATTGAAGTTATCCTAGCGTTTATGCTTAGATTACTTGAGCTAGATGAAGCATATCTTTGTTTAATATTGGAACTGATTGTTAAGTTATTTTTCAGGCCTTCTATCTTCCGTGGATGATGCTTGCTTTGGATGTCATTTTTGGTTCATCTATAGTGCCTGATATGTTAGGTATCATTGCGGGACATCTGTTCTACTTCTTGACAGTCTTGCATCCTCTAGCAAGTGGAAACAATTATTTGAAAACCCCAATGTGGGTGTATCCTTTTTGTCTACTGTTGCATTAGGTGTACACATTTTGCTGTCATTTAAAGTATTTTCTGACTTCCTAGAAAACAAAATTTGACCAATAGCTGCAAGCTAGTTTTGTTGTGTTCTTTAACTTTTATTTTCCAGACACAAATTGGTTGCAAGATGGAGAATTGGAGGCCCACAAATTACTCGTGCTAACAACGTCCAACAAGAGAGCAGTTCTGGAGTTTTCAAGGGAAGATCCTACCGACTTAATGGGTAGATGCAGTAAAGAAATGGGGTGAATTTTCCTGGCAATTTGTTTCATCTTCCCTTATATAGGTTGGTGACTTGACACCACTGACATATGGAGCTAACCATCCCTTGTGAATTTGAATGAGAACATACTGTACAGTTCATTAAAAAGCAAACTTTCTTTTGGGGAGCCATATAATTTGAATATCTTGGAAAAGTTTTTCTTGTAAGGAAGATTAGGAAAAAAACTTGTGAAATTAGTTGTAAGATGCTAATCTTGATTACTTCTATATTCAGTATGAAAGTCAGTTCCATAATTTGCATGGCTAACACCAAACTCTCTTTGTTCAAGAAAAATAAGTTAGATTAATCATTGCATATGCCAATTGCCACATACAAATAAATTTGCAGCATTTTTCTCCTTTTTGTTTTTCAAACTTCTTTTCGTTGTAAAATACTATACTTAAATTGGATTTGCATTTACTTGTTTCCTTACAATTAAAAATATTATTTGTTAAGCTCTGAAATACATAAAGGTTAATTTGTTTTTTTTGGTTGAGTTTATTGTTCATGTTTTTCATTTCACTGGTTGTAGATTACTTATATTTTTCTATTGCTCAATAGGGCTTATTCATATTCTGAGGCTGCATTTTTATTCTTTAATTATAAAAACAGGCAATATCTTTTCTCGTTTTTGTGGTGTAAATCAAAACCTTTAAAAAATTTAAAATGTACTTGAAATTTTTTGAAGATGTATCTCTGAATCTACCATGAATTATTTTTGCTAAAATTAGGTTTAGAGATGCATCTGTGAATACTTCTGATGCATCTCTGAAAACATTCATGAATCTATTTTCCAAGTGTTTTTAATGAAAATTATCATTTATTCATTTAGTGAAATTTTCAGAGATGTATCTCTGAAAATGTCAAACAGAAAATTGAATATATCACCACCTTACATGATCATCTCTCTCATACTTCATTCATCCACCATAACCCAAAATTCTTTAAAAAAACTTTCATTCTCAATCAACTTTTAGACTCTAAATCATTATTCTCGTGTTTTATCACATCAAAGGGAGCAAAAGAAGCTGCAATTTAAGTTAAAGTTCATTCATTTCATCCCTCATTGTTTGTATTAATCTTGTTGAGCTGAAAAAATATATGTTGAGTCCGGAGATGCATCTCTGAATGAACATGTTATATGTTTTGGAGATGCATCTCCGAATTTGTCTATTCCTATAATTTTTTAACCATTTTTGTTGTTTTGGTTCGAATTAGATATGGTGCACCCAAATATGTTCTCCAAAATTATTGTAAGTAATGATGTAAAATCTGATGAAGTGAAGGACGATGTTAAATCGGATTAGGTGAAGGACGATGTTAAACCGGTTGAAGTCGAAATACGTGTTGGTCAACAGTTTACAAATGAACAATTGTTTATTGTTCGTAAACATATGCTTGAATGGATCCGCATGGTGGTCGAGAAATTGAGATTTGGCATAGTAATCAGAAGGTTCGACAATGATTTTAGCCGAAGGCAAACATTTGTAACCATGAGATGCAAGAGAAATGACACGTAGGTTCCACCGATTTGGAAGTTGAAACATGATGACACTAAATCAAGAAAATGTGAGTACCCATTTAAATTACGCGAATACCGTAAGACGGATGATACATGGAAATTTAATGTGATTTTTGGTTTACATAACCATGCATTGTAACCGAGCTAGTCGATCATTCCATTGTATGTCTCCTTAAACCAGAGGAGATGAAAATTGTTTCAGACATGTCTTCAGTTAGCACATCGACTAAAACCATACTTGCAGATTTGAAACGGAAAAGACCTGAAAGTGTTTCAAATATCAAGCAGGTATATAATGCGTGTTATCGAAACAACAAGATGATAATAGGTTAGGATTCAAAATGCAACAATTTTGAAGCTTTTGGATGACATCCACTCACTATGTTTCTAGGTACAGAGTTTGTGAGGATAAAGTCATTGTCCGTGACATATTTTAGATTCATCTGGAAAGTATCAAGTAGTTCTACACATTTCCCACAATCCTCCTAATTGATTCAATCTATAAGACCAACAAGTATGGGCTTCCGCTTATGGAAATTGTTGGTGTTACATCTATAAAGAAGAATTTTTTAGTTGGATTCACGTTTTTGGAATCCGAAAAAGAAGACAGCACTATAGGGGCATTGGAAATGCGCAACATCTTATTGAAGGGCCAAGAAAACACGTTGAAGGTAATTGTCACAGATTAAGACACCACACTAATGAATTTGGTTGCAAAGGTGTTTCCTACATCTTACATATTACTTTGTCAATATCACATAAAAAAAGTGAGAAGTCAACTCAAATCCGTTGTAGGCACCAAACAAATCAAGGGTGAAGATGAAAAAATGCTTAAACCTGGTGTGGTATTGGAAAAGATAATGGATGCATGGGCTGGTATATTAAATTCATCCATGAAAGACTTGTATGTTGCCTTTGTAATACATTTTAAGAGCGTGTGTTTCAAATAACTAGATTTCCTGAAATATGTTGAGAATATTATTCTGGACCAAGTGAAGGAGAAGATTGTTTGTGCTTGGATCGATCAGGTTAGACACCTTGGCAATATAACAACTAATAGAGTCAAATATGCACATTCGGCATTGAAGAAATGGTTGAGTTATAGTAAGATTGATTTTTGTAGAGAGTGGGACGCCGTGAACCAAAAACTCCAAAACCAACATAATAAAATACAAATAACTTTTGGCCAGAGCATTAAAGTGTTAGAACACAAATTCAAAGATAACACCCTCTATTCATAGTCGATTGGCAACATATCTCGAGCAGGATTGATTTTGATTTTTCACGGAGCAAAGCCAACCGAGAAGACATGTTCAAATAGTTCCAAGTGTGGATGTACTATTAGGAAGAATTACAATCTTCCACGTGCTTGTCTCATTTAAAAAAAGATGAAGCATGATTCTCCTACATATGGATAAAATTTACAATCATTGGAAAAAGCTCTAGTTTGATGATGATGGTGTGACAAAGGGTGGCAAAGCAGGTATAACTATCATGACTGAGTGGGAAATAATCCAAGATAGATTTTCTAAAGAAGATAGCACCATGAAATTGCACATCAAAGAGCAATTGAGGAAAAATTCATATCCAAAAGTCACAGATTTGAAACCTCCTTCGGAACCGGTTAAAATCAAAGGTGCCTATAAAATGGTTAAACCGACACATGATAACATTTCAATGAAGCGGTCTTCTTCATACTTTGAACATATTGATTCACATTTTCTGGATTCTCCAACTCCAAAATATATTTAAAAAAAGTGTTTACAAGGGTGCTTGCATTAGCAAACTACCTCCTTCATTGCTGAAGCCGAAAATAATCTTCGTTAAAGAAATGATTATGTGTATGCACAAATATATTGAGCAGATTGTAAATGTTAAGAAGGATGGTAATTGTGGTTTTTTGGGTCGTATTCGGCTTGCTCGGTAAAGGAGAGGAGAATTACTTTCTTGTCCGCCAAACTCTTTTGAAAGAGTTAACAATGCATAAGGAATTCTACACAACGTTATATGGGAAAAGGTACATTTTGATGCAATTCAAGATGATCTAACTCCTTGTGTTAACGGCCCTGCACCGTTTTTAAAATGGATGCGCTTCCTTGAAATGGGTCATCTTATAGCAAATGCATATGACAAGGTGTGTATCGATCTGACAAGATATGGTTTCTCAAAGACATTTTTTCCACTTCACAGTGGCCCATCTAATGATCCTTCCGGATGCATCATGTGTATATGGTGGCTTTCAAAGTCGCTATATTTTGTTGCGGTTAATTTGAAAAATTAAAACCCTTTTTACCTAACTGTTAAATCTAAACCTAAATCTAGTATCCTTACGAATAAGGTAGATGAAAGGTTCCTAACATCTTCCTTTCGTCTAAAGAAGTCTGAAACCTAGAATCTCTGTTTGCAAATTAGGGTTTTCTATTAGATTCCCTTCCTTAAGATAAAAACTAGTAGTGGCGTCTCTGATTTTAAATCCAGTTGCAACAGGTAGGTTCATAGGTTCGTTCTACGGATATTCTGCGCTCCCCATAAGGGTGGCTTCCTTAAGGGTATCATGGATAACACTAGAGGGAAAAGGAACATGGGCCTCTCTTAAGTGGAGCCTGTTTGTAGACTGAGAATTTCGTCTCTTAGATCATACAAGGTATCACCATGAGATTTTATTTTTAGTTATACAAAGAGTCATTGATCATATTCAAAATCCTATCTCCAAGAGAGGCTAGTCCTCCAAAGATATTTCTAGGAATTCGACCGACTCTAGGCGAAGTTGTCGCAAAAACTCATATGAATGTTAAACCCCCTTGGCCAATTGACAATTCTTCTTCTAAGGTTTGATATTTTAATTAGCAAATAAATCCCATCAACAACATGAATAATATGATAATAATAATAATAATAATAATAATAATAATAATAATAATAATAATAATAATAATAATAATAATAATAATAATAATAATAAATAAACAGATAAATAAACCAATTATTAAACAAATATAGAAACAAATAACATGCTATAAATAGAAACTCAAAAACTCTATACCTACAAGGAGGGATAAATTCTAACCCTAGGATAGTGACTCCAGCAGAGTCGGCAGCTGTCATAACTGACAAAAAATAAAGAGTCACCACCACTACTTTTTGTCCTAAGGACGGGAAAATAATGGATAACTCTAAATTGTTCAGAGATTCTAAATTCATAAGTCGGTTAGATATAGGAAAGATGTTAGGAACCATTTATCTCCCTTGTTATCAAGGGGCTCCACTTCTAGGTTTCGGGGTAAATCAGAGATTTCTATTAAACAACATTGTTTCCATTTATTTAAGAAAATGTTTAATTTTTTTAGTTATGGGACTCGCCTTGATTTTAACCGCGTGCCAACGTATCTCATTGCAAAGAAATCAGAGTCTATTTCGTAGTTCGTTACGTGTTTGCTTAATTTGTTTATAGGATTACGTAGAATTATTTTCGAATTATCCTTGAACTTTGTCTGAGTTTGAAAAGTTGAGTAAGCGTAGACGTAGTTCGCAGTTAATTGTGAAAGTAATTCTACTTAATCCTTTTTTGAAAATAATATTGAATTTGAATTAAGTTAGTAGTAAAATAGTTCAAAGTTGGTTAGCTATTTTAAATGCATGATGTAATTTTGAAAATATTTGAATGATATTGTAGTAAAAATATGTTTAATGATTTAAATAAAAAAAGTGGTTAGTAATTTTAGAAAATAAG